AGGACCCCACACCTTAACATCATTGTCTATCCCTCCTGTGTATATTTTGTCCGAGGCATCAGCGAAACTGACGGCGGTGATTTGGTACTTGTCGGGGAAGGTTTGAACAGCCCCACGCTGGCGTAGGTCCCACAGCTTGGCAGTCCCATCATCAGATCCGCTGACCACAAGGGGAGGGCCCCGTCGGGCGGGACAGCACGCGTTTACGAACGAGGAGTGCTCAGACATCTTCTTAACCTGCTTCCCCACTTCCACATCCCAAGCCCTCAGTGTCTTGTCGGGGCTGGCTGATATGATCTGGGTACCTGCAAAAGAGAAAATCTAAGCCTAAATAACTTGGTAATTTCTTTTCTGCTTTTTCTTTTTCCTAGGAGTTAAGGGGGATTAGAAGATGGGTAGTTGGAATCTACAAATAAAAAGCAAAGAAATCAAAGGCTGCAAATAGATAGTCTGAATTCATTTTAAAAAATTTAAGCAATACATTTTTATTGTTAATAAATAAACAATATTGAAGAACTAAAATAATAAAATTAAAATTCAGAATATTTCTTGTGAATACAGCGTGTGACTAGATAGGGCATGTAAAGTTCTGATGCTTCGGATCTCAAACTGCTTTCAGTATTGGCTAAAACAAAATTTGAGATTTTGGAGGTGAAATTTTGCAAATTCGGATTAGACGTTAGGAAAAGATAGACAGCTAAATATAGAAATACTCAAAAACTATGGATCTGACTCCGAAGAAAATGAAAATCAACTATATTGCCTGTCGACACCACCCCTGCCTCCTAGCTGGCATGTGAAGCCTACTGTACATCACCACTTTTAAGTTTTAACACCCTACCTCCCAGTGTGTGAAGCCTATCACATGTCATGGTTTTGAAGTCTTTCATAAGAATCACATATTTGGAGTCTAAAAATCCACCAAAGAAAAGAAAAATAAAACCTTTCAGGACCTAAAAATGATTAGTAGAAGATTCAATACCATCTGTAGTCCACTGGAGGTCCAGAATTGCATTCTTGTGGCCCTTCAAGACCAAGAAGTTCTTGCATTCTCCCTGAACATTCCACAGGAATATGTCTTTGTCATGGGAACCCGAGGCAATAACTGTTCCAGTAGGGTTGAATTTCATAGTGTATATAGCACTCTGATGGCCCGACAACAGCATAATTGGTGCTTCCAAGCTAGAAGTGCGCTGTTTGCCATTCAAAGGAGGGCCCTCTTTATGGCCTGATACTTGAATCGCACCATATGGAGCTGAAGGACCCCTTACAGCGAGCATCTTATCTTGAATTCAATCCTCACCTATAAAGAGAAAGTGCCCAGAAAAGAGGTGCAGCAATAAGTGTTAAAAAAATAAGGGAGTTAAAAGACAACAATACAAAACCTGTTGCCGTCTGCCAGACAAGCACAAGACATAGTTGTTATATCAATAAACAAGTGCTTATTAGTTGAAGTAACTGCTAGAGTAACTTGGGAGGTGGTGAAAAATGTGAGAGAGAGAGACCGCCAGTTTAGCTAGTTTGCCAATTGTAAAATAAAGAGAACAATACATAAAACCACAACAGGGGTACCAATATTTTATATCCACGGTGGACACATTTTTTATTACATATTAGAGAATATAAAATTTATAATTTCTCTAATAATTTATATGTTCCAAATGTGTGTTTGGAAAAATGTGAAGTATTACGAATATATCAATAGAGAAGTTAATTTACTTGCTATATAAGTAAAAATAGAGTAGGCAGGCCCTCCCCAACTCCAGTTGCAAGCCTTTGGCACAAAGGGCGATTACTCTTCTGAAGGGTGGGCAACCACTTGTACTTCGTAGGACGACTACTTGTACTTCTTAGGTACGGGAGAACTTCAGTATTTCAGTAGAACAAACAAGCCCACTCAGAGCTTATTTAATAGGAGATCTTTTATTCCCTCAATTGAAAAGCTGATAAATACTTACTTTCCACCTTTCATAGATGAACTATTTGCCCTAGGAAACTGATATGGAAACTGAAATTGCTGTGTTATGTGTAGGTACAATAGGACAAATTAGAAACATTTACGAGTACTAAGGTTTCTCTTGAATTACCCAAGGGATAGGTACAAGGAAGGGAGACCTTAAAAACAACAACGTTGGAAAAGTTGAGTTTTATTTATGAAAGGTCTAATGCAATGAGGTTAGGATTTATTAGAATGTGCCAGTAGACCACCCTGTTTTCAACATGCATTACATAGTTATCATAATTATAGTTCATAAATTTCTTCAGAAAGTGTACATAGCTACAGAGAGCCTAGAAACAAAATTTAAATGAGAAATAATAAAGAAAAAACAGTTTATTTGAAATTGAAGTTCAAACTATGAGAGATGATATTTCACTATTCTAGGAGGTTACACTCAGAATCTAGAAATTTTATTATCTTTTTTGTTATTTCATAGTTGCTCGTTGACTCACATTCCAAAATCCATATTATATATGACATAGAATGATGGTTGCTTCAAATACTTTTCATAAAATATTGGAGATTATAAAGTATTGGATTATAAATTATCACAGGCCTTATTCTAAGGCACTGTTCATTTCAAAATTTTGTCAAATGTTGTTTTCCTCTTCTTCTTTTTTTCCAATTTGTAACTGACGAATTGGCAATTTGGTCTATTGTCATTTGCTCTCAAGAGGTATTGATTGTTTTAATTTGAATTATAATTTGTTATTGTGTGGTGTGAAGGTGGAGTTGGTGGTGGCAATCTGATGTTGGCGGCGGTGGGATGGTGTTGGTTGTGGCGCATACATAGTAGTTATTGCTATTGGCAGCTGTTTGATGGTGGGGCTACAGTGGTAGCGATGGTGATGGTATTGGAGTGGTGGTGGTAGTGGCAGTGGGAGGGGCAGCAGCGGTGGTGGTGGTGGCGGCGGCGGCGGCAGTGGAAGTGGAGTGGTGGGGTCCAGTAGCAGTGATGGTGGTGGAGGTGGTAGCAGAGTGGTGGTTGTGGCGATGGCAATGGTGGAAGTGGTCACAGAGTGTTTGTGGTGTTGGAGTAGTTGGGCAGTGGTGTGGGTGGCACTGGTGATGGCGGTTCTGTGGTGGTAATGTTAGCCAGGAAGCAGCGATAATGGTGATGGTGATAGTGGAGGCGGTGCAGTAGTGGTGGTGGTGGGCGAGTGGTGAGCACTGGTGGGGTGGTGGTAGTGAGAGAGAGAGAGAGAGAGAGAGAGAGAGAGAGAGAGAGTAGTAATTAACTTAACAACGTAGTGGTAGTCGTAACTTAAAACAAAACTAACTAAGTAGTAGGAACGACACGTAGTAGAGTTA